TTTTTGTGTTTAGTTCAGCATGGTTGGTTATGTACGGTGTGAAAGAAGTTCAATATACATACATAAGGACCTTCAGGCCCAGGTAAAGCTGCGTGGTCAGGAGTCAGAGGCATTCCCTATTCACCATGGGGTGCGACCGGGATGCCCTCTGGCTCCTAAATTATATAACATTTTTCGACCATGTAGTTCGAGACGCTTTCCATGGTTGTAGCAAAGGAATTTCCATCTGGTACAAATACAATGGGAAGCTGATCTGTGCCTTGGTGTGGTTAAGGGATGGCTCTGTATTGGTCAACCATGTTATGTATGCCGACGATCTGGTAATTATTTCTCACTTTAAGAAGGAGTTGGAGACCAGGCTGGATTGTGTGAGGTGTTCACAGATCCCTGAAAGATCTGGACGCAGTCCCATCAGTGAACCCTGCTGGCAGGCAAAGCTGCGTTGGCTGAGTCATATAGCCCGCATGCTCATCCACCACTTGCCCCTAAACAGCTAATGTTTAACCGGATAGAGGGGGCTAAACAGGCACGGCACAGGCTAGATAAGAGATGGGCTGAAATGGTATAGGAGGTTGTGGAGCTGAGTTGACTTGCGGAAGACTGGTATCAGCGGTGTTAACATCGGCCTTTATGGAGGAGGCTCGTGAAGAACACTACTGGGCAGTTGGAGGCAGTTTCCTTCCAACAACAACGGAGGGCAGAGGAGTGGTGCTCACAATAACGAGCGGAGCACCTGGTGGCTAAAACGCAGCAAGTTGGCATAGTAGGGAGCACAGGTGGTGCTTCTGCCACTCATCTCAGTCAACCCATGGCACCTGAGTCTGTCCTTTGAACTTTTGTCAGTGAGCCTTACACAATTCAGGTGGCCTCAAAGTGCACGTAGCCTGGCTCAAGCGTTGTGGTGACTTCACTGCCACTTAGTGGCGAATGGTGGCTGTTATTTTTTCTTTGTATTTATATGTGGCCAGGCATGGTTCTAGCCACACAACCTCCTTGTACACCATACCAACCCTCATAGGTGCTCGCTAACAGCACTTGCCACAGCAGCATGAAAAGGCTATACGGCGGATCTTTGTGTGAATGAGGATTGGATTTATAATGGTTAGCACATATAACAATGATCCTTTTGGTAGTTAATACCTGAACTTGATTCGTCCCCTAAGTCAACTCTTCTTACACGAGAACCTGGTGGGGGTCTCTATCACCGTCGGTGTTATGGAGGATTGGCCTGGCACTAGCAACTAGAGGTGTAACGATTCACTCTTGTCCCCCCCCTCTCATGGTGATTCAATGAATTGTCATGATTCAGAGTCGCGATTCAGTTTAAGACTATACCCTTTTTTAACATTTATCTCTATGCAGTGGCCACTCATGTCTGAAGGGTCATGTGGACGCCTTACATGCAGCATATACGAATTGATAAAGATCGATGTTTGTGTACATGAAATTCGATTAATGCATTGTGCGCATGATATTTCATGTTCATCAATGAGTTGTTGTTTCGTTACACCTCTACTGCCCCTCTCAATGCTGTCTGGGCCTTCGTAGATTATATTAAACCCTGCGCCGGCAGTCAGTCAAGCTAAATTTGCAGTGTGCGTGTCGATGCATATGCGTGTGACAACCAGACGTTGGTACCAACAGAATGATCACACGACTTTGAACAAAAAAACTGAAAGATGAATAAATAATCATAGTTGGACCAGTATCAAACATTTTATGTTTGGGGCTGTGTATGGTCTAATAATATACATAGGTTCTAAGAAGACGCTAATAACCAACAGATAAAACCAACCACACTTGTTTTGATGATGGTGATGATAATGATGATGTCATTGGTATGCATTTAGTGTCCTTAATATTTCACCGCATTAAGCCGACGCCTGCGATTTCTGACATTTCGTGCCTTTCTTGTGCGCAAATGTGAAGGTCCAGGCTTTTTGGTGAAAGAGCGCCATGCTGGGTTTCTCAGTTCCACACGCGTCAGGTGTGGTCAGTGCAGTTAACTGAAGTGATTGGTGTCGTTTTACAGGTTAATTAGCGTTAAATCTATTCGGCCACACCTGGCGTGGACGTCTGGAAATGTCACACTGACTCATTTGTGCTGTGCAATTTGAACGTGGTGGCTTTTTACGCTCTTCCCTGCAAATATTTCTTTTTTTTTTGGGGAGGCGGGGGGGATCTGCTCCTGTCGGCTGGGAAAGTTATATTACCCCCAGGTAATTTGGCCTTTGTGGTGGATATACTCGTTCACTACGGGATGGTGGTATAGGCGGCGTTTGACTTCTATATTTGGGGTGGGGGGGACAGGGGTTCGCTTTGTCCCTCTCATTAGGAATCGCGGGTGTATATAATAAATGTGTCCAGTTTTCTGGGGGGCCTTGCTCCCCCCATGCCCACCCGAAAACTCCACCCATGGATGGGGGAATGAGACATCATGTTGTCTTCTCCCACCTGGATAATAGACAAAAACGTCATCGTTATGGAATGTCAGTTTAGAACGCATATTGTTTCAAATATACCGATCTGAAATATATGCCGCAAATTAGTTTTGTTCCAGAAAGGGGGCAGCTACTTATTCTGCAGATTTACAAAGCCAATAATAACCTGAAAGACCTAATTTACTCATTGCTGGTTTTACTAGGTACCTTGCATACGATTTGCATGCACGTTACGTCCGGGGTAGGGAACCGAGAGCCAACAGGCCGTATCAGGCCCATGACTTTATTTTCGTTTGGCCCATGGGCACACGGAACACCTACCACTTTGAAACGGCCCACGAGTGATATTCATCTGTCATTGCAAGCGTCCTTGCGATAATTCATTATAATTTCAACTTGTAATGCGGCGAACAGTATTTGTTCACTCTTCATGGCGCGAGGAACCACAGACGAGTCGCAAGGCAGCTCAGGTGGCGAGCCTGCGCTAATTGAATGGGTGAGAGGAACCTGGTGCACCCAGAGAAGATTTGTGCGCGCGAGGGGGGCAATACTTCTGCGAGGGAAGGCCACGCTCTAAACTGCACTTATCAGGTAACAGAAAGGAAATATATTTTCACCTGGCAACAATTCTGTCACTGTAAGGGTTTGCTTACAGTGACAGATATGAAAGAAGTGTGTGTCTAGATTTGAAGTTTTCGTGACAGCAGGGATCCATACTCTTTGGTTCTTTCGGTAAAGTCACGTTGGTATAAAATAAATAAATAATAAAATAAACTTTATTTTTTATACCTACGTGACTTTACCGAAAGAACCAAAGAGTAAGTGTGGGTGTGTGTGTTCATGTGTGGCCGCCAATAAGTATTCGTAAGTCTCATTCGGCCCTCGGGAAAAAAAGGTTTCTCACCTCTGCTTTATGTGGAAACATTATGAAATACACATTGGGAAGATTGCAAAGACAAATAGTTCACTACTTTAGCCCACCGGTGTGTTGAAGAGTGAATCCACAACATTTACAGTTTTTGAGTTCGACGTTTCGCTGGTAATTACATCCAGCATCATCGGGCAATTCGCCAGAATGGTGAAGCCCTCACTTGCTCCCGGTCTTAAATAGAGCAGCAGGGTGATGTCATCATTTAACTCAAAAACGTTTATTATGAATAATATTGGTCGCGAAAGCCTACGTGTTAAACTGAAGATTACAAAGATTATAGACGGAATATTAAGCTATTCATTTGTGATCACTTCCATCCAATGTAGCTGCCTTTGCATCCAGTACTGTGCTGTATGTCTGGGTGGACTGCAGGTTGTGTGGCACAATCGTTTTTTTGCTACATTTTGATGCTGGTGTATGTTAAACTATTAAAATGCTACTATGGTAAAAACGGGCTGAATTGATCTAAAAATGTATTCACGATTTGCATGCATTATAAAATAATTATGCAAATTCACAGACATCGATGCATCTCATTTACAAGGCGATCTGGTGCGTGTATACACTCTCAGAATGTATTGCCAAATTCATGTGTTGCGTGGGTCCCGTGCCTCCCGTGCCGTTCCTGCATGCAGCCTTTTCGTCAGTCCACAGTCCTATGAAGGCCTCCACATGCTGTCTTTCGTGAGGGTTTGTTTGGCCGCACTTGTTCACACTGGTCAGTGCGGGTTGGTGAAGGGGGGGAGGCGCAGGACCGGTTCAGACATCACTCGCGGGGAATCAAATTCTCATCATCGGTTTCATTACGCAGCACGCTAACCGCTGCACCACTGAAATACCATAACGGAAGATGCGATTGAGTTTTATCACACACACAAAACAAATATCCCCTGTTTAGCTTTCTAGAATGTAAAGGATAATGCTGTTGGTAAGCATCTGTAAGGACCGGCACAGCACGTAAGAGATGTGCCCAGCACCACATCTGACCGCCTTTGTCTTCCTTACGATGGTGTCCATTCATACCACCAGGTTCTCATTTATGGTTAAGTCATTCTAGGGTAGGCCATGGATGGGTTTAGATACCTGCCTGCCTCCTATTTTTTAAGTCTCATGCACTAACGCGTGCAGGTGGGTTTATTAAAAGACTTGTATATGCTGGAAGTGGCTTAATTATTAGCGCTTTCTTAACATAGATACCCGAAGATTAGCATAGAGACCCATGCACTTACAGAGACCCATAGACTCGCATAGAGACCGGTAGGTTTACTTAGAGATCCACAAATATAGCTATAGACACAAACAGTCACCCACAGACGTACATAGATAATTATAGACTCACATTGAGACCTACTGAGAAACTTGCATCTGCTGGCAGTGGTTTCATCATCTGCACTTTCTCCACCAGATGGGCGCACATAGCCCACACAGCGTCCCAGGAGAACTACTCTGGTGGGAGCTCAGCACTGGTGCAGCACCATCATCATCAATCATGACCACTACCACCACATGTTGCCTTTTGTGTTCCAATTATCAATTAGTTCATCCACACTTTGTTGCCTCCTCAACCTGAAGCCGTGGGCTTCCCACTGGAACTCGCCGAGGCTAAACAGGATGCTCTTTCCACACAGACGGCGTCCGAACTGGAGAGGAGGTTGTCAAATGTTGCCGTGCAGCAGGAGGCGGAGAGGCAGAGGGCCTCGCGCGAGCTGGAGGCTGCGCAGGCCAAGTTCCGGTTCCAGCTGGAGAACGCCCGCGTGGAGATGCAGAGGGCCCACAGCAAGCAGATGGAGCAGGCGCAGGAGAAGGTAGTTGAGGAGAAGCAGGCACACGTTATTTAAGCACAGTTCTGGTGTAAATGGAGACACTGGTTTGCGCGATGGGCCTTCGTAACCCTTGCGTTTCTGATGATGGTGAGCTTCATAGCTCATCGGATTTCTCCACGATAAATAAAGAGTCTGATTAAACTGGTGAGGAGGGCAGACTGGCAACTTCTATTACGAGCACACTGGTTTTAAGAACACATGGACTTGCTCCCAATGGGTGTGCTTTTATCCAGCTTGAATTTTATGCACTGGTGTGCCATCAAAAGTTCTGCTTTTGTCACTAAGACCAATGATAATATAATCACAATGCTAACATGAGATAGAACACTCCTTCTGGACTTTCATATCAGTCATCTTCTTCGGTGTCATTACACCATCGACAACCTACGTTTCATTATTCTTGTACAGGAGTTTATCCTCTTCCTACACATACCTCTAAGTGGTTGTACTCTAGCTATGTAATTGCTTGAGGCAGGTCTGTTTTACTTGTGTGCATAATTGTAAGTCATTTTCAGTCACAGTGCCGTATAATGTATGCCATATGTCAGGGCTATGTATGTTGAACGTCTTTCACACCGTACATAGCCAACCGTGCTAATCGCAAGTGTGGAGTAGCAGTGAACAGTGCAGCAAAATCTATTGTACTCGCCAGCGTGATGCAGTTTGGTAAAATGTAACCCCCTTGATCCCATAAATACGACATGGCACGTACCGTGTCGTATTTAAGTAGTAAAATATGAAAATGCAAAAATTGCAGTTTGCAGCCTTTGAGATTTTTCACAGCCGGCAATATACACAGGAGATATAAGAGAACGAGATAGGACGTGTCGTCCCTCGTGAACCTTTTACCACTTGTAAATACAATGTTGATTTTTTCTTTGGGGCGGATTTCTCTATTTTTATAAATGGATAACCACTGCAGTCCTGACATCCCGCTCTCAGATATAGAGCTGACAGGCCCCTCAGCATTAATTCACATGCAAAAATGACAGTGTCCCACGTTGCTCTGCTACACGAGGTCCCCATTGCTTAGAGGGAGTTTTGATTCATTTGATCTATATACTGATTTCCAAGCAATGTCAGGCCCAATCTGTATGTAAGAGCAACGGTGACACCATTGTTTTGCTTTCTCATGCCACTGCTGAAGAAGGGGCCTCCACTATAGGGAGCTCTGAGGATCCCCTCTACAGGTCTTGAAAGAACTGGAAGTAACCACACTTTATTACCCCACTACGAATGACCTGCTGGTCGACTGGCTAAGTTTATAGGATATTAATAAACGAAATGCAAAAATTGTAAGGGTGGTGTGGTGGTATCTTGATTTGAAGCTTTCGGTAAAGTCACGTAGGTAGAAAAATAAACGATCACGACGTTTCGATCGCAGCACAAGCATTCGTCATCAGGTGGGACAACCACAGCAAGAAAAAACTGCTGCAGTTTTATGTATGCATGTTGAACTTCTTTCGCACCATAAGTAGCCAAACGTGCTAATCGTAGGTGCGAAATCTTTAGCTTAGAACGATTGAATAACCGGAGCACCATCAGCAACATTCAGCATCGACTTTTTGGCCTCCTATTGGAAGCATTGAGGCAAATTACATAAACAAATGATTTGGATTTAGTAGGGTTCTCACGATGCACTGACATCCACAATTGCATGGTTGGAGGTTACCATGAGAAGTGCTTTTTGCTCCGTCGCCTGTACCATCCCACACAGTGTTAAGCACCAGCAGCAAGACTGCAACATTTTTGCACCATGGGCAAAACCCCAGGGCTTTTAAAGTCAAGCGGAGGAGAAGAAGGATCCATCACTCGTCATTCGTATCCCATCCCAAACACCCATAATTAATAAAGCGTGAAAAAAATAGATTTAGCATTCACTGATAAATACCAAAACAACGTAAATGGCAATGTGGTTTTGGTTGTCATTATGCAATGCAACACGATAAACACATCCATGTATTTGCCTCAATCCTGTGTGGGAAATGCAGTCTGGAGGGCTCGTTATTTGGCATGTGCAGATTAAAACAATTGCTACAGTGGTGTTTTGTATTAGTGGCCTGCTGGTTTCTTATTAAGAATGGCCTTGTCATGGTATTAGAGATGCCATGCTGATTATTGCGAAGGTTTTATATATATGTACGGGTATGTGCTACTTGGGCATGAGAACAGCCATCAGCAAGGGCTTGAAGGGAACATTTGATTCACAGACACACCACATTATCGTAAACAGAATCGCGCGGAGTGGAAGCCTGACTGCTGGGCAAGAAGCCGCGTGGTTAATTTAGGAGAATGGTCCTAACAGAGAGTCTAAGATCGCCAAACAAACTTCATAACGATGATACGTTAAGCAGCGCTGCAATTGTCTGACAAGATAGCTTAAATGCTGGCAAGGCCCGAGTGAAATGATAAGCTTCGGGGTAAAGTTGGGAAGACATTCGGAGCATCAAAAAAATATCTCGCTTCGTGATGGCGTGCGTTTCCTTCGATTGTTGGAATATCAGTTTTATTTTACGACAAGGAAATGCAGGTGACGACAAAATGTAACAAACGTTCCAATGAAATATTAGCTTCCTCGCGTTCCATTAAATCATGTTGGGAAATTAAGGTTGGGCAAGCTGTTGTACCTTCTTGCAAAGGGTATAAAAACGATGTTAAATAGACTGAATGGTAAGAAGCCATTGCAACCCATACTGCATGAGCACTTACATATCACATATAGCTTTGCAGTGTCTGTTTTTCACATCTGCTGGAAACCAGTATTTTTAAAGCCTATCTTTTACTCTGAAGCGAATCATGAAAAATAAAAGTTACGTGCCTAAAGAAACGTTTTAAAATATAAAAGCTAATTTTTTTTTTATCAGAAGATTAATTTTTTCCAGGTGCTTTCTTCCATTTTCACCACTTCCTGCACGCCTGTAAAATGTTTATCTTTTCACAATTTGTTTCATTCTGCCGATCGTAATATGATATGGCCCATTTTTACTACAAAAGCTGTGGCAATGGGGAAAAAAAATCCTAGCCAGCTGCACAGATCTCTATCTGAGCATTATTAGATCAGTGGCCATGCAGTTAAAAAGAAGGAACTGGAGGATTAGATATTCATATGCGCAGCGTGTGACTGATTTGTATAAACAGAAGCGGTCCTGACGCGCATTCGATTGAGCCATGAATAATGCATGGCGTGCATGTACACTGCCGGCTGTAAGCCTGTTACAACTTCAAACGTGCTCGCAGAAAGTGTTTGAAAGCTCGGCAGCAAAAGGCGCGATCGGAGGAGCTGAGCTATATGAGCCCAGAGCCGTCTGTTTGATGTTTCCACGGCTAATCGGGCATCATTAGGCGACTCGGCGCAGGATTTTAACCCTTTCAGGCCCCTGCTTGCTCCCCCGAAAAAGTGTTCTCAAGTTCACGGGCTGCGGGATGGTGGGAAGTTGCTTGGCTTTGGAGAGCTCGCGCACGGCTTGCGCCTGGGCGCGTGACGGTTGCCTTTGAGCAGAGATAAGATTGACGCTGTGTTAACAGAGTAGACGTCCCAAGCACCCCGCGTAATTCAATGCGCGTCTTATGTGTGTATGGCTTGTACTGGGTGTTCAGATATACACGCCCGCTCTTACAGTAGCAAATATTCTAACCTGGGAGGTTGCTTAATTTATAGGTGTGTTATTTCCGGAAGATTATTTTCCTATCATTGCGGACAGATATGTGGGGTGATGTTAAATTTGTTGTGAATGACACTTGATCCTGCGACTGAATTCGGCCACATGATTAGTACTTAAAAGGGGAGAGTTACTCTTCAAAGAGACACTGACATTACATCATTATATATATCTTTTTATGTAGCAACCCCACATGGAGCACTCTTCACGTGCACTATTATAACTTGAACTTTAATTAATTCAACGATTTAACTTCCACCTGCAAAACTCCAAATGCACGCAGGTGAAGACAAAAGACAGGGCTGCCCCATGTATCCCCAAGCATGAAAGCAGCATAGCTTTATCACTGGGGTGTGTACATGATTCCCTCATTATTCGCGAGGGATACGTCCCGGAGATGCTCGTGAATAGCAAATTTTGCAGATAATAATATTGGCCTTAAATACGTATAAATATATTTTAAATACATTACAAATGATCGTAATAATGTCTCTCATTACTTTATCGCATCACTTTCTCGTTTCACATTCTCTCTGATCATTGTGTCTCTATTCCTCTCTTCCCCTCTCTCGATGCAGTCGTCACGTAGACTTACAGATGCGATTAGCGGAAAGGCAAAATTCGCTCGTGGCAAGTTCGCGAGCAACAAGGGAATGCCGCGAATAGTTGTGTAGTTGTAACGAGCGGCACCGTGGGCTGCATACGGGATGTATCGTCAGCTGCTCGCAACGGACGCGGTGGGGGAGCAGGAAGCGCCGAGGGTTAATGTGTGTTCTTTCTGTGCTGATTCTGATAAGGCAGCGTCAGATTCGCAGGGCCCAGTGACAAGCGGGGCTTTAAAAAAAATGTCTGCCACCGCATGCCGTCCCGCACACTAATGCGTGCGTAAAGGAAGCACACGTCTGAAATATATATATGTGTGTGTGTGTGTGGGAAACATGTTTAATAATCCGCTGTGGAGGTGCTGCCGTTCGTAAACAATTCTGCGCTCGTAAAATCTGAAGCTTATTTGGCTCGTGAAACCCATCGTTTGGCCAGGGATGCTGTTTACAGGAGTGGATGTTGATTTAAGGATCAAGAGAATCGATGGGAAATAAGAATGAATTATGTCGATGTGCAATAAACATTAAACCGTTGAAATAATTAAACGGACAATTTTCTGAGTACAGTAGCGCATTAGCAAGTGACAGTTGCATAGTTTAATGCTAACAAAGTTACAATTTTAATTTATTTTCACAATCTATGGTTAGATTTGAAAATACTGTGATGAAATTGCACAATATATAAACGTCAAATAACCCTTTTTTAAGCTCATAGTTTTTG